ATATATATGTGTGTGTGTGTGTGTGTGAATTCACAATAAAGCCCCAATGGTCTAGCTGGTTAAGGCATTTCTTTTGCTCTATTTGCAGAACAGACCGAATATATTCTTAAGGAGAATGACTACAACAATGACGGTTATTTAAGCTACTCCGAATATGCTTTGGCGAGACGTAGAGCCGAGCGGGGTGCTTGATTCAATCAATTTATCAATAATACAAGCAGGCCTATGCCTATGCCTTTTATCAATCATTATATTTACTTCTGGCGACGGTGTGTTTCTTGCTTTTGTAGCTCTCGGACAATGATGCCAAATGAAAAAATAATCGATATGAAATCAGTAATTTTTTTTTTATTCATAACGATTTAGTGACTTTAGTGTCGAGTTCAGGCTTTAACTGAGGCATATTCTTCATTATGGTTGTTGAAATCATTTAGCATAAACACTTTTTTCAATCATGTTTTAAATTTCAAACAGATATCGTGTGATATTTTACAGAAGCAAAACTATTGTCTTGAAATAAGAGTTCTCCTAAAACTTGGTGGTCATTGACTGCTTTGATGTGTAGGTTCATAATACTTCAGTATTGTGATGTGATCACATTATCATTATCATCCTTATCATCTTCACATTAACCGTCAACGTCACTGTCACCGTCATCATATTATCATCATTAGTCGTATACCTTTGGCATCTAGGCCCTATTTTTGTGCATATTTCCCCTTCGGGGTCAGCAGCTAGCTATCCTCGGAGTGCATGGTGGGATATTGCGTCATAAGTTAAAGTTAAAAATGAACTGCCTTCCAAGATAAGCCAACTAAATATGATAACGTATGCCTAGAACTAGAACTAAAAAGTGAACAATCTGTTACTTGGACATTTATTGTTATTCAATATATTTATACATAGTAGACTCTAAAACCGTTTAAATAAGCCTTTGATACCGCTAATAGTTTCCGGGGCTACGCCCCTGGATCACTTCCGAGAGGTTTCGAGCGACAACTGACTGACTATATTAATGCCTAACGACTATTTGTGCACGCATCGCATTAGAAATATGAATTTTGTAAAACTAGAATGTCCTGTTGTCTTAAATAATGTAGATTTCATATTATAAATGACGTAGGCCTATAGTAATAGTATTTTTACTGAAAATTATTGTCACAATTTTTAAAAATTCTATTATAATTTCTGCTTAGGTCAATGAAACTGAAATTTCTTATAAAAAATATCTAACAAAGTCGTATGATAATTATATCTGGACTGATTTATTTATTTATTTATTAAAATTTTCATTCAACAGCGGGAAACCCGCCACTTCCAGAATGGAACTTAAACTACTTTAAACTACAGTAAGAAAAACACAATTTACTAGAATAATACAATATTTAAATTAAACAATCTTAGAAACTTTGTAAAACTTTTAAAACTATCAACAACAAAAAATCAATAATATTGTCTTTATCAACACAAACGTTATAAGGACCACAAATACAGGACAAGAATCCACTTTTAGCAAATTGACTCGGAAAAACGGAACGTTCAGAATATTTTTAGAAAGACGGGTGAGACAGCCAACAGCTCTAACATGAATAAAAAACAATGACACTAAATCACAATCAACCCTAGAATTCATACACTTTTACAAAAACTGAAGATCGAACAACGAACGACGAGTGCAAAGTGAAGGAAGAGAAATAGATAAAGTAGAACATTGACAAGTAGAACAAACAAAACGAACGAAACGATCTGGAACTTTTTGGAGATAGGAACATTGAGAGGTATATATATATATATATATAAAATCAAACGAGTAGGTGGCTGCATCGGCTTCAATAAAATAGTAATAAAACGCATAAAGCAAAAGTGTAGAGTAGCCGTAACATTTAATGGTAATATATATATACTGTCTCTTATACACATCTAGATGTGTATAAGAGACAGGTGTGTGTGTGAACAGCGTAAAAACTTTCATGACTTTGAGGCGTGGTTGCAACGAGTAGCTAGGGAGCTACAAGGAACAATAAAGGGCGTGAACTGAATCGGATCTAAAACAAAAGCCATCAAAATGAGTCATACAGATAGGAAGCCTATTCTGTATACGGATGGAATATAGCAAATACATGAAATAAAATATAATATATATAAATATAAATATAGGCCTATAATAAAAAAAAATCTGCTGTAAATAACATATCATAATCTAAAAGCTGTGAAACTAACATTAATACCAGCAGGATGTAACGTACCTAATTTATAGATATTCTCTGTTCTAATTCTTTCCTAGAGAAATCAGATCCTTTACATAAACTAACACCAGTAATTTGTATATCGTCAGTATTATGATTATGAGAAAAATGAGAAGCTACTGGTAAACCAGGCATGCGTAAGCGTATAGATCAAAGGTGCTCCGTAAAACGATCAGCAATGCGACGTTTGGTCTCTCCTATGTATATCAAGTTGCATTTAATACAAATTATGCCGTAAATAACATTAGTAGATATACAACTAAAAGAATCCGTAATAACATGGTATCCCGAAGGTCCCTTAAGTAGATCAAGTGATACAACGTGTTTACATGTCTTACACCTCGGTCGATGGCGGGGGCCCTTGGCGATCCCCCTGGCCCTAATCTACTTGCTCGCAGCTTGAACCCTTGAAAATTGTATCCTGGTGGTGCGCCCCTGTTATCTTGTCTCATGCTTCTCAAATTACATGACGGCACGCGCACTTGAGTGTGTGCATCACAGATAGGGCCTACAGTAATTCAAATGTTTGGGCAGAAAGCTGCTGGTGTCTTCCAACAAGATAAGACTCTCTGGCTGTGCAGCGCTCTTTCCTTTAAACCTCGGTCAATTAAACAGTTCATTTCAACAATTATTTTGCATCTAATTGTCTTATTAAATTACATTTTGCGGTCGAAAATTGTGTGGGGATGTGGTGGGGGAAACCCACTTAAAATAATGTGGTGGTCTGTAATTTTGAACTTTGGACTTAACTTACGTGAATGATATGATTCAGATTTGATGTGAAAAGATGATAAGGTGAAAAAGAGTCATAGATACAAAATAAATTTGCTACATTATTCAATAATTTTTATTTACAGATGCAATGCGTCATAGAAGGATTTCTCATTTAGGTTTAATAGTGACATTCCTAATATTGATCGCGGGTGATTACGGTCGACTAACGTATGCCGAAGATCGCTCCAAGTTTCACGATGCGGACATAGTTAGAAATCAAGAGTAAGTTAATAAATTGGTATTGGTTTACATACAATTGCTATATTGTCGTTATCAATTTTTTCAGTGCAATCGCTGTACTGCGTTGCATTCCCCGACTCTACCTCCAACCAATCAGCATCACCGAAAGCTGTCGACGATGCATTGCGTCGGCGATAGCGTGTAGCGGTTGTATGGAAACCAGGTTTTCCATAAAAATAACTACATTTTACTTTCTCTGCTATTATAATGATCATTTAAACATATGTAAAATATTTTTTAACATTGTTATTTCATTATCTATTTTACATGTTATTTTATTTGGTTTATGAAGAAAGAAATATAGATGAAATGAATAAAGATTGAATTAAGCTAACTTATTGTCAATGCCTACATGAAAAAAAAACAAAAAAAAACACAGACTTGAAACATGTCACAATTTTTGTTTCAATCGTAAAACATCAAACACTTTAAAATACGTCAATGGCAGACAGGTGAAAAGTGAAAGAACTGCATTATTATTTTTGAGCTTGGTTTCCATACAATCGCTACACAGTCGCTACATCCTTGCTGCACTGCATAGCTGTCCCCCGGCCCAATCGGGAAAGCTCTCTGATTCAACTAACCAATCAGCGTTGCCAAAGGAGTCGGCGACAGCGTGTAGCGGTTTTTATGGAAACCGAGCATAAAAATGATCCTTTGCGCGCGCTGTTTTCCATAGCATCGCGTCAGCAGACGACCGTCTTTGAAATTGATATATTCAAGTGATATAAAAATTGTAAATTCCTGTATTTTTACTAGTCATATTAAAGAGCATCTTCAGGAGGAAGTTGACATCGACACCGAAGCCGAGATGACGAACGAAGAACTGGAGTTCCACTATTTTAAGTAAGTGCTTGAATTTATTAACAATAATGTTATATAATAAATAAATAAATAATTTCTTGTGAGACATTTAGCCGGGCAATTCTTTTACATAACCTTTAAACAATTAAAGAAAAATACATCATATAGGCCTACTTAAAATAGGCCTATATGGGAAAGAATAGAAACCACTTGTTAAATGCTCTCGTTCATGATACGCTTGCAAATTTTTATATTTTTGTTCTGTGCATTTATTTTTAAAAATGGCATATTACCTTATTTTGCACTTACATTACTATTACATAATTTTGTGTACGAATACTGTACACTATTTGAAAACATTCTCTTGGGGTGTTGCCAAATTCTGTTTTTGTGTCAGGTCTTGGTAATTGTAGTTATGAGGCCTATGACTATAACCCTTTACTGCTTTATTGTGTTGTAGGCTACATGACTTCGATAATAACACAAAGCTAGACGGTCTCGAGATCCTCTCGGCCATATCCCACGTGGTACCATTCGAACCTAAATCTCCAGAGACCAAGACAGCTCAACAGATAAGGGACGAAAAAATGGACTTCTTTGCTGGTAAGTTTGTTCGCGGCTTATCTGGTGGTCTATGCAGTTGCCTGGAACCACTTATTTAGCGTTTTTAAGTTTATGTTAATTTAACCAAGGTTGATTACCGAGAATAAATATATATACCGAGAATATATATATATATATATATACATATACATATATATATAGAGCATGATGTAATCCACGTGGACGGGTTGAAATAATCATGTTTTGAATAAAATTTGTGTTCAAAGTCTACAAAGTCGTTGACATCTCATCGTCTTTTTTTATTGACTTTTTTTTAACCAGAGCTTTCGGACAACACTAGTCCTTCCTCAGTGGCGAGTATATGTATATGTATATATATATACATACATATATATTATATATACATATATATGTATATATGTATATATATAATATAAATCAAGATAGCCGTTAAAACTGTTAAATTATGTCCTTTATTCGAACACTGTATTTACCTTTCTTTGATGATTTATGTATACATATACA